CAACTGGTAGTGGACGACACAGGAATAGAACTGATCATGGGTGGAGAGTCACTCGGTGAAATGAAGGAGAACGGAGAACTGTTTGGAGAATTCTTTGCATTCAACGATTTGATGATTGGAGTGAGTGTGTACAAATGCAAGGATGTTCACATAGTGACATGGATTTGATTTCACCAGTTGGACACACTACACTAGAAATCAGATCGACTTAAACTCAATCTCAAGAAAGTGTAGACCCAGCCTACTAGACACAAGATGAGATGAAGAAGAGGAGCAGATGTAGGTGGTTCAGACCACTCACTATCTAGTGCAAGGAACCTGCCTCCCAAATCAAGTTAAAAGCCTTGAAGGAATCTGATGATAGACCACAGTTCAAGTACAACACTCGGAAACTGAAGGACGAAACCAGTAAGAAAATCTTCACGGCAGCCAGTCATCAAGACAACACGGGGGATATCGAGGAACATCCCTGAAGAAACCTGTGTGGACGAACACTGGAACTCGTAAAACAGATGTGGAAAAAAACCTGCGCAGCCATACTAAAAAGGAAGAACAAAGAAGATAGGGAATAGATCTCAATTGATACACGGAAGCTGATAGAGGAGAGGAGGATGGTGAAACAGAAGACGAACCAGTGCAGGGGTGCACAACCACAAGAGGATCTGAGTAAAGTGTGTACAACACTGGACAAAGAAGTGAAGAAGAGTGCGCGGGAAGTAAAAAAAAAACACTTCCACGAGACATTGGCAAGTGAAGCAGAACAGGCTGCAGGCCGGTAGGTGACACACAGACCTGACAACATTGTATCAAATAACCAGGTTACCATCCGGGAAGAGATCGACATAGATGAAACAATAAAAGATGATTGCGAGAATTCAATTACGAAAGAAGAGAAACAAAGGAAACAATGGGCCGACTACTCCAAAAAGCTCTTGAATCGACCACCACAAACACTGTCACTTCGTCCAGAAATACCACCTACAGCCGCTTAACTATAAGTTAACACCAATCCTCCAACAAAAGTCGAAGTCCTGAGCACCATAAAGCTACTGAAATGTGGGAAAGCAGCACGGCCAGATGGAATCTCGCCAGAAGCACTGAGAATAGACGCAGAGACAACAGTGGGCATGCTCACTTTTACCACTGTTGCAGAAGGTGTGGAAGGAAGGGAAGATACCTGCCGATTGATTGGAAGAAGGGCTACCTTGTCAAACTGCCGAAGAAGGGAGACCTCAGTGTTTGGGAAAACTGGCGCGGAATCACTCTCCTGTCCACCCAGAGCAAGCAAAATATTAAGCCGCATCATCCTGGAGAGACTAAGGCATGCGCTCGATTCAAAACTACAACCGTAATAGGCTGGCTGGTTGGCTTGAAGAAGAATAAGTCATGTGTGGACCAAACTGCAACGTTACGCTACGCATCATCATAGAACAGAGTATAGAATGTAAGTCAACCCTCTATCTCAACTTCATTGACTTTGAAAAGGTTTTTGACAGCGTCTACTGGGAGGTAATTTGGAAACTGCTTCAACACTACGGAATACCACACACCTTTATCATTCTCATTCAACAACTATATGAAGACACCACATGCCAAAAAATTCACAATGGGAAGCTCGGTGATGCTTTGAAGTGAAGACAAGTGAGAAACGAGGTTGCCTACTATCACCCATGATATTCCTGATTGTGGTCAACTGGATCATGCAGCAAACAAAGGGGAGCGAGAAGAGGGAGATAAGCTGGACTGCGGAAAAGAACCTAGAAGATCTGGATTTCACCTGTGATAACTTGTGCCTGATGTCACACAAACTTGAAGATCTACAGGCGAAAACTAACAAGTTGGCAGAAGAGGCAACACAGCGAAGGAAGACAGGAAGTAGAGAAGACAGAGGTGACTAAGATACCCAACCAACAACAGAAAGCTCCAATCACCATGAACGGGAGGAACTTAAAGAAAGTAGCCTCCTTCACCTATCTAGGAAGCACTGTTTCAACTACAGGCAACGGCACAGACGAGGATGTCAAAGTCAGTCAGAATCGGAAAAGCAAGACAGATGTTCATTAGCCTGAAACCAGTGTGGAGATCTTCCACACTCAGCATGTGGAACAAGATCCGGATTTTAAACAATAAGTCGGTCAACTCAGTGCTTCTGCATGGCTCAGAGACTTGGTGCGTTACGAAAGAGATTTCCAACAAACTACACATATTCATCAACAACTGCCTAGGCTGGCTCGTTACTGAAGATCGGATGGCCATAATAATAAGAATAAGCAACAAGGAACTCTGACTGGCTGGCTGGCAACGAACCAACCAACAACCTATCGCTCCAGTGATATGCAGAAGGAAATTGAGATGGATTGGATTGTGCATACACTGAGAAGACCGTTTGGAGTCATCACGCGCCATGCCAGGCAGTCGAGTGGAACCCCGATGGGAAGCGACGAGTTGGGCGTCTCATCTAAGGGTGATATGGAGGAGATGGTGTGAGGAGGAAATGAGAGCTTGTGTGTAGTGGGGGTGCCAGGTTCAAAAGATTTCAGAGAACAGAGTGTAATGGAGACGTGCTACTGAAGTCACATGTTCCACTAGGAACCCAAGGGACAAATAATAATATATTTAATGAATATTTGCATACAATGTTATTATTTAGTTTTAATAGTATAAAACAAGCAACAGACCTAATTTAATTATGATTTATTGAATTCATAAATTTCAGTAGAAATCTTCAGCTTTTCACTCTACATATATGATATCATATACTGCTGTGCAATAAAGGAATACATGCACACACAATACAGACCAAGACATTGACTGAGGCATGGCAACACTGAGTGAATCCTTTACTCATGTCAAACAGAGCTAAGATTAGGGTGGGAGGGGGTAACGAATTGATAGTGAAAAATCAAAGACTAGGGATGGATTACATCATTCTGGACAGAACAATTAGTAGTCTACTAGATAGCTTGAGAAAGATGCATACTAAGAGAACATAGGCATTAAGAGTCGACGTTTATAACCCGGCACACTTCTCTACCCTTAGTTTTAGAGTGGAAAAAAAGTAGAAATGAAAAATGACTGGCTGATTCCTCTGTTTAAAAGTCAGTGTGTCTGTGTGACCAAGATACTTTCTCATTGCACTAGGACACTTACTTGACGCAATTAGATTAGTTGAGCCAAGATGAGCTATTTGTGTTTAGATTGGCTTAGAAAATCATCATCACCTGTCACATTTAATCTGTTTTAAGAAAGTGATCGCAATCAAGTAAAGGTTAAATCTAAAATGAATTTGAAATTTTCAAAAATGTCGTCCTACTTGGAGCTAGGTTTAGCGAATAACACTCTAGCCTTTGAAGCGATGGTTCTTGAGTTCTATCCACAGCGGGAACAAAATCACTCACTGGGGTGCAGGTGCATCCAACTGGCGAGTCCCAAGTAGGATGAAACGTGCGTCCGGTTAGTTGACGAGATCATTATGTATTAAGCGTAGTTTACAACTGAAAATTAGGTTTTCAGAAAAATCTAAACCTTAGATGTATTAATGGGTAATTTCCACATAATGATAACGCTTTATTTTGGCGACAATTCCAACAAAATTATTGTATTTCAGTTTTCTCGAAAGTTCTCTGTGATATGCTGGATGTTGGAGTTCCCGGAAGTGAGACTATTAATCGTAGAAGGATGTCTTGTTTGTGTAGTTTAGGTCTGCCGTAGGACCGAGGAAGGTTAGGTCCATTCGGTTTCATTCGCCCTTTGTCTTGCTCTGTTATTACTTATGCTTTGAAGAGTTTGTTCAAGGTTTTATTGATCTGCTTGTCTAACTTTTGGATAGGATCTGTTTCAAGCAGTTGATATACATTTTCGTCTTTGGGTAAATCCTCTACCTTCTTGATGTGGTCTTCTTTCTCCATGACTACCGTAGTGATTCCTTTGTCTGATGGAAGTATAACGATATCTTTCCTACTTTTCAGTCTCTTTAATGTTCTCCATTCTTAAGTGTTCGTTGGAGCGTGATATCTCTTCTGCTTATTCAGTGGTACGGTTGTTTGTCGTATCTCTTGTTGAGTGACTTTATTTTGTTCTGAAGTTTTAAGTGTCCCTGATGCTCACTGAAGACACAAGCTTGTCGGAATGCACGACACTTAAATGTTCCAGTCTGGTGAAACTTCTTAACCTGTGCCTGATATACTTCCAATTCAATGACAAGTTATACAAACGGATGAAAGGAACTTCAATGGTGTCACCGATATGCGGACTAATCGCAGAAGCAGTGATGCAGAGAGTGGAAACCATCATTCTACACCTGTGATGAAACCGAAAATGTGAATTCACCATGTAGACGTTACTTTTGTCATCAATAAAAAGATGATATAGAAAACACCCACAGTTTGATCAACATGGTTTTCAATGACACAGTGGAGATATTTTAGTAAGCAGGACAAATACCGGAAAGCTGGAAACCCAAGTCTACAGGAAGCCAACCCATACTGATCCAATTCTCAACTGAAGGAGCAACAATCCAACAACGCACAAAATTAGTTGCCTACAGACTTTATTCAAAAGACCGAGAAAACACTAAAGTACAACAACTTCACGGGGGAAACGAGGAAAGTTACTTGATGACTATCCTACAGAAAAAGAGCTACCCGCGAAACTTTATCAGAAGATGCCTATCTCGTACATCATCAACTACAAAATCACCGACAGAAATGAACAAACGCATCATCCTACCATGCATAAAGGATATATCAGAAATCACGACAAGATTACTTAGACCACTTGGAATTAGTGTGGCTCTTTGAATTGTATGAACAGATAATTCCAACAGTAATTTTGCTCAAAATATTACCAAAACTAAATAACATTGAATGTAAACATTCATTAAAAATATATTCAAAATAAACACAAAAGATTAATAATTATTTAGATGCTATAGTCCTATATTGAAGGATCATATTTTATGATAGTAGCTAACTGATATCATCTCTTTTTTTTTATTTTAGCCATTCTATGTTTTCGATCGTCGAAAGATCCTGGTCTTGTTTTAGCTGTGCAAAGAATTCAAAAGATTGAAGATCGATTTCTACTTGCAGGTTATATTGCAATGATTTTAAAAGAATTCGATGATGCACAAGAACTATTTTTAGCCTCAACTGAACCTATTGCTGCCTTAGAAGTAGGTTCAACCATCAGATTTCCATTATGCATATGTATTAGTGATTATATACCACTTGCAAACTAGTTTATATCTACGTAAGGCGAATATTTGTGGCTTAGAGTGGGATTAATCAGAGAGCCACAAAACCGGGATGTAGATATGTAACTATTAGTCTAACTGGTTAACAGTTTTTTACTACTGGTTATAACATTTCTCGACAGTTAGAAATGATTTATTGAGCTGTACGTTTACTTTCAGCTATGTTTCCACTCAAAAACGTTTATTTGTAATCAAAATTATTCATCTTGCACTCAAGTCTGTTACCACGTAATCATAACAATCAACATTCTAGTTTGACAGGCATATCCTAATGTTCTAAGTCCACTCTTCAGTGAAGTAAACTTGTCCCTCAGTGGTTCGAATACTTCATTACAAACTATTGGCTTACGTCTTCAAACTCACTCGTTCTAGTTGATGAGTATTATCATAAGTCTTAACATTTCAGTTGTGGCTTATCGTGTAATGCACAATGTTGTATGGGGTTGGTACGTCTCATAGTTTATTACTTATTGTTGACAAGTCATTTTTAAATCTAAGTTACAGAACCTTGACCGTTATGAGACATTTTCTACCTGTCAAAAGTAAAGCAGAGTTTCGGGATCGTTGTTCACTGACTCTTTATCTGAGGATATTAGGTGTTATGGAACACTTTAGCTAATTCACATATTTTGAGAGTTGCACTGGCCCGAATGGGTTGTTTTCTGACAAAATCTCAACTCAGAATTAAAAAGCTGTTTCGTTGCTTGCCAATATACGTCACTTATGTAGTTGATAAGAAATCCCACTTCACATTACTCAATGGATACATTGCATGGTACTTCGCTCTATCCTCTTGTATGGCTACTAAATGTGATTTTTAAACGTTTTTGATCACTCTTTTCCTTGTAGTGTCGCTTATGGCGGAAAGACCGTGAGGGTAATGTAGAGATTAGGTGAGGAACACTGAGAAACGAAAGATCAGTTTATGTGGTTGAGAACCACTACTGGTTCAGCTTACTTGGACATCTGCTGCACATCCTGAACAGTTGCCTACCTTAACACACTTCCACCTGAAGTAGGAGTTGGTTTGATGAAGTCTAACTGAAGCCAGATCAAAGCATATTTCCCATCTATAGTCTCTGTTTATCGGTCTGATTCATGTACAGTTCTGCAAGTTATCTAGCTAGGAACGTCGAAACAATAAAAATCGACATTCAGGAGTTCATAGTCATTTAGATCACTATCGAACACATTGAAGCAGATATATGCAATCTGTGTTGGTTTTGAAATTTTGAATATTTTTACTAAACATTTATCAATCCCCTTTCCTTCACAACGCTTCCTTTTCAATTTAGGATCATTTCTTTTCTGACCACTTCTCCTTTGCATGCTAAGAGGAAGCTTGACAAACTGATCTGATGCATTTCTTTAACAAGCACTACGTCTGCTTCTCCATCTCTGCGTTTAAGATGGTTTTTATCCTTCCTAAAACCCTAAATAAGCATAATATACATCTTTATGATGAGGCTCTCCTAGTTAATATGTTTCATGAATTCGAAATTATGTTATAATGTTCATAAGATAAATTACTTCATACGTTTTCTTTTCAAGAGGAAATAATCTTACTATTTTGGACGGGATTAACTTCTATAGAGTATCAAATAAGAAAAATCTCTCATCCCACTAGCCGCTAGTGAAGACAGCATCAAAGTATGATTGTAGTCAGTATCAAGGCTTTCTGATAAGCGATTGATGTGTCGATATGGACTAATTACTTTAATTATTAATAAAATAGTTTCTAACAGTCATAGTACTTTTACATTTGATTTTTGCAAGTCTTAGGTTTCAAACTCACTTCATTGTCTTTCTAAACAATTTCACAGTTTCATTTCATCATCTCGAATAAAGAAATGTTCAATATTAGCAAACGGTTACGTATTTTTTGATAAAAATGGAATTGACTGGTAACTGAAGCTGTGTTTATGAATTTTACACTTAACACATGCAATTCAAATGATGCAAAGTCAGTTCCAGACTCGTGAAAAATTAAACTATGAGATCCAGGTTAACCAAATGTCTTCCAACAAAAATGTAGACAGAATCAAGGCCGTTAAAAGTATTTATAAACTACTACTTTTTGTGTATGCCTTGACTTAATAATGAGTCTTTCGTGGTTTTGTCAATTTTCTACTTCTGAGAAACCGAGTGGCTCTTAAAGGTAAAGCCTAAGATTATTAATCAAGAGTTCAACGATACATGCTCATTATATATCGATATAAATTTATTGCAGTTAGAAACACAATAGTGAGAAGTAACCAAAATTTTGAGATAACGATATGAGTAGACAGGAAATTGATGGATATAGATTAATAACGTCCGAACAATGTTTGAAGCTAGCAAAGCTGCCCGGATTACAAAAGAAATGAGGAAGTATGGCGTGGGAGTGCTTGCAATCTGCGAGGAATCAGCAGATAGAATGGAAGTGAACTCTCCAAACTGTCAACTGCAGAGTCAATAATCTACTCCAATATTGTCACCCAGACGACAACCACGAGCACACTGAGTTTCGGAGTGGCTATCATGATGTCCCCTTGGAGAGCATAGAAGACTCTCTTTCACGCAATGGGAACCAACCTCCTCCAGCATCAGGATCATGACAGCCAGATGGATTCAACTCGAAAGGAAGGAAGTAAAGTCATAATCATACAATGCTGCACTACGCACCTACAAATAATGCATATGAAGAGAAGAATGAGGAATTCTACAGACAACTGCAATCAACACTGGACACGACTTCAGTTGGTGATGGTGACATCAAAATTCTGATGGTTGGGGTGACATGAATGCCCAACTGGTAGTGGACGACACAGGAATAGAACTGATCATGGGTGGAGAGTCACTCGGTGAAATGAAGGAGAACGGAGAACTGTTTGGAGAATTCTGTGCATTCAACGACTTGATGATTGGAGTGAGTGTGTACAAATGCAAGGATGTTCACATAGTGACATGGATTTGATTTCACCAGTTGGACATACTACACTAGAAATCAGTTGGACTTCATCTCAGTTTGACGAAGAGGGAGATGCAGCCTACTAGACACAAGATGCGATGAAGAAGAGGAGCAGATGTAGGTGGTTCACACCACTCGCTATCGGGCTCAGGTTGAACACCCAGAACAGAAACTGAACTGAAGGACGAAACTACAAAATGGGAGACATTAAGCGGCAACTCTGAGGAAACCTGTGTGGTAGAACACTGGAACTCTTTGAAAGAGATATGGAAAGAAGCCTGCGTAAGCGTATTAGGAAGGAAGAAGAAGGAAGACAAAGAAATGATCTTGACGGACACATGGGAGCTGATAGAGCATGAAGAGGAAGATAGTGAATCAGAAGATGAAGCAGTGCAAGTATGAATAACGAGAAGAGGAGCTGAACACAACATATGAAACACTACACTGGACAAAGCAGTGAAGATGAGTGTGTGGAAAGACAAAATACACTTGTACGACACACTGGCAAGTGAAGCGGAACAGGTTGTTGGTAGTAGAGACCTGACAACATTGTTTGAAATCACCAGGTTACTATCCGGGAAGAGATCAACGCAGACGAAACCAGTGAAAGATATTGAGGGGGAGCTAGTTAGCAGGGAGGAGAAACAAAAGAGACGATGGGGTGACCACTTGAGAAAACTCTTGAATCGACCACCACCACCACCACCACCTGCAAGTCGTCCAGAAAATACCACCAGCAACGGCACAATTACCAGTGAACACAGACCCATGACAAGATCAGAAGTCCTGAATTCGACGAAACTGCTGAAATGTGGGAAAGCAGCAGGACCAGATTGAATTCCGCGAGAGACACTGGAAGCAGCTGCAGGGACATCAGCAGTGGGCATGCTCACACCCCTACTACAGAAGGTTTTGAAGGAAGGAAGGAAATGTCCATGGCGATCGACTGGAAGGAGGGCTACCCTGTCAAACTCCCAAAGAAGTGTGGCTGACGTTAGTCTTTGTAAGAACTGGCACAGAATCAGGCTTCTGTCCACCCCAAGCGATCATCTTGGAGAGACTAAACGATGCGATGGATTCCAAATAACGACCAAAACAGGCTATCTGTCTGGCTGGCTGGCTAGTTGGCTGGCTTCAAGAAGAATAAATCAAATGAGGGTCAAATTGCAATGCTTAGCTACGCATCATCATAGAATAGAGTATAGAATGGTAGTCAACTCAACTCCACCTCAATTTTATCGACTTTGAAAAGGCCTTGCTTCGACAGCGTCGACCGAGAAGTAATTTTTCAGTCAGCTGCTTGAACACTACGGTTTTATTGTCACAAATATTTATCAACCTCATTCAAAACTGTATGAAAAGGCCACATGCGAAGTGGTTCACAATGGGAAGCTCAGAGGTGTATTTGAAGTGAAGACAGGAAGGAGTAAGGGAAGGTTGCCACCCACTATCACCGATGATCTTCCTGATTGTGGTCGACTTGACTGGATCATGTGTTAAACCGTGACAAGCGAGAAGATGGGCATACGCTGGAAGGATAAAAAGAGACCAGAATATTTGGATTTCGCAAATGATTTATCTGTAATGTGTCACAAACTTGAAGATCTACAGGCGAAAGCCAAGAAGTTGATAGAAGTGTCATCGAAGGCAGACAGGACTTTAAGTGAATGTGGAGAAGACGGTGGTGATGCAGATACCCAACCAATAACAGCATCAACAATAAGATGCACCAATCATCATGAACAGGAGGAACCTAAATGAAGTAGCCTTTTTCACCTACCTAGGCAGCATCGTTTGAACTACAGGCGTCAGCGCAGGTGACGACATCAAAACCAGGACCGGAAATGCAAGACAGCCCTTCGTTAATCTGAAATCAGTGTGGAGGTCTACTGCACTCGGCATGTGGAACAAATCCGGATTTTCACCACTAACGTCAGTCAAGTCGGTGCTGCTATATGGTTCAGAAACTTGGCGCGTTGCGAAAGGGATTTCCAACAAACTACAGACATTCATCAACAGCTGCCGTCTACGCTCACTCAATACTGAAGATTGGATGGCCAGAATAATAAGTATAAGCAACAAGGAACTCTGGCTGGCTGACAACGAACCAACCAATAACCTATCACCCAACAAATATTCAGAAGAAAGTGGAAATAGACCCGACTGGACATACACTGAGAAGGCCGACTGGTGACATAACGCACCAGACCCTCGAGTGGAATCCAAAGGGGAAATGACAAGTTGGGTGTCTGAGCCAACAGTGACATGAAGGAGATCATGTGAGGAAGAAATGAAAGCTTGTGGGCAGTCGTGGCGCCGGGTTGAAAAGACTGCAGAGAAGAGAGTGCAATGCAGGCATACTACTGAAGCTTTATGTTCCACTAGGAACCCAGGGGTAAAATAATAATAATAATGCTACACTTAGTATACTTTAAACCAAAATAGATAGCAAAGCATCGTTTATCAGCCTTATAATGTTTCTGCCCAGTTGTACTGTCACTTTTTTGCTGACATAGTAACTAACCTGAAATATGTAACCGTATAGTTTGGAAATGAGCTAACTGACAGGCTAACGTAGAGTGTCGCAGATAAGTAAATCTGCCCGTCGCCACATTTCACAGTAGTACAAAAAGAACAGGTGAATTGAAAAAGAGTGATATTAAAGTAGATAAAGTAGTATGAGAGAATAAACAAGCTGGAAATAAATGTGACAGCAAATATTCATGTTTCTGGATATGTTAAAGAGCTAATACATCTACACCATTGTGGCCGATTTTCAGCCATGTCACTCCTCAAACACTGATTCTTTTCGTCTCATAAACTCTATTTAGGTAGCTTACATCTCACAAGACTCAGATCAAGATTAAGAGACTTCATAACTAGTATCGCGTCCTGTACTGAGCACGCTGAACCGCCTTCCAACATAATACAACTTCCTCTAGCATGGCGCATCTTGGTAGGTGATTGCTCGGTGTGCAGTACACATTGAAGCTATCTCAGTCAACTAAGATTCACAACCTCATCAATCGACTCGTATGCCTTACCTAGTACTCTTCTTATGAACTCACCATTGGTCACATATCGATTCTGCCGAACATAAACAATGTCAAGAAGACATCTGTAACCGGAACCCTATAAACGCTTCATGTTTTTTTCTTTTAACGTCTATGCCTCATAGCTGTATAACAGAACAGAACGAACTGCAGCACAGTATACTCGTCCTGAGATAGATAGTCGGATGTCTCGCCGGTCGGCGACAGAGCTGACGAAATTTGGCAAGTGGCAAATGATCCTTTTATATCTGAGTTGAGATTTCGTCAGCAACCTGACCATTTGGTCTGGTGCGAACCTCACCTTTGCTGATTTTCAATTTATTCAACTCAGACAGTCAATGTTTCTTGTTAAATAATTTCTCTTACACTTTAGATGAGACGAGATCTTTTACATTGGGAAGATGCACTTCAGTTAGCGCGCAAATTAGCCCCTCAAGAAATCCCATTTATCTATCGTGAATATGCTGCTGAAATGGAATGTACCGGAGACTACGTCAGTGCCTTAATGCATTATGAACGTGCGCTAAATCCATCGTTCGATATCAGCGATGAATATGTGTCATTGCGAAATTCTGAGCAGAGAGACTTCCAGTCGAAAGGTACTTATTTTTTTAAAGAAAAAAATACACTTTTATTGTCTATTGTAGACCATGGTGAAGGTGAAGACGAATGGTCAAAACACGTCAGTTTATGTAACGCTGGTATTGCTAGAAATACTATCCGCCTTGGTGACTTTAAAAGGTAATACCTTTTGACTGCTTAGTCAGGTGTCTATTTATGCTCAAGATTACCTGTTATTATTATCATTGCATGCATATGCTGTCCTTATGTACCGCATAGTTTAACGATTTGATGTCCATCCTGGTGACTAGCAGTGGAATCCAGGATGCAGATTTTGTCCTGTTTGTAACTCGTCAGCAGGATGTACCTGCATCTCAGTGAGTGGTTTTGTCCTCACTGAGACTTGAACCCAGTAACCATCAGTTGAAATGCTAAATGAATATCCACTAGACCACTGGGCCAATAGTCTTTAGCTTTCCCTCCTGATAACAGTATGTTTTCATTAGTGTTGTAATATTTGCTTGGTATAGGCTGAAGATGCATAATGTACAGTAGAGACTGCTGCTCATACTTCGTTATCTAAATTGAATGCTACCTGAAGTCGGAAGCAAGTAATATAGAGCTTAAATTCATTGTAAGAGTGTCACTCAATCTAGACAGTAAGAATTTTATAAAGTTTGTCTTATAACATATCATATTACTCTGCCTTGATGTAAACTAAACCTCTTGCATGGCATAATTTGAGGCAGTTGTCTTCGGATTACCGGCTGGGTAGTATATATTTTAACTATCAACTCCTGAATTTAATCAACTAGTGTTGCTTTCGACCATCATTCTACTGCCTGATGCGTAATCATCCTCTAATCGTAATCACACTAGCTGCCAAGTTAGGCCTTCTACAAATACAACTTAAGCTGAAATAGAGAGAAAGAACATAGGATACATGGTTTATTGAATTGTTGAATAGCCACTGGTTTCCTGTCTTTCCACGACCTCGACTTTCATTCCACTTTGAATCACCATCCTAGATAAATAAAAGAAATCAGTACTTAACCAACGACAAAAAAGACTAACTGATTCGTTTCTTATTTTTTTTTAGTGATATGTAAACTTTATACTCAGATAAGCTTCCTCTTTGATGACCAACAATCGGTAATGTCATTTATTGCAACTATGAAGTTTTGATGCACTGATGATGATGTTTAGTATGAAATTTCAGTGTTTGCCGTTTAAAGTCTTAGCTTAGAGAACAACCCAATTGGAACTTCAGCATCCTGAAACAAACGTTGTACACGACTTAAAAAATCGTGTGAACTCAACTAAGTTGTGATTTCATGTAGACGAGGTTATTTTCTTACAATTACTAAATTATTATAAACTAGTTCAATACGATCCCTACTCATGTTTCATAGAAAAGAGAATCGATATCAATGATGTATCCTCAAACTAAAGTTTATGTTTCGAAAGGTTACATCCAAGATTTATTTCATTCCTAAACATCGGTAAATGTGTGTAGCACTTCGAACTTCGAGATAGTGTGCTACATTATCATTATAATATAATGTCTCATTTCTGAATTAACTGAGGTTATCCCATTAAATTTGATAGTCTGGTTATAGTTTAGTAGTAGCAGTGATTATAGTTCCACTCCTTGTTAATTAACATTAATTTTCTTACACCTAACTGTTTAAAATTATACTAGGGGCATTGAATTATCAGTTAAGAGTGGTAACTCCAGTTTGCAAAGGGAATGCGCTGATATTCTGGAACAACATAAGGTGAGTCAAACTACCATTTTATGCAACAGTTATAGTAAACACTGGTACGTATCTTCGTAAATCTAATCTTAAAAATAACCTCATGGGGAAAAGATGGCAACGTTTTGAACTAATCGTATTGCTGTTTAGAATATAATTCACCTATAGCAGCAATATATGGTGAACGTGGATGAATATTCTCATTTCAGTGTATATGGCTGCTCAGTAAATTCTTCAAGAGTTTAGTGTTCCAGTAACTGTAGGATGTTTGTATCCTATGGAATGACTGTTACAATATATTGAGACTGATTTTTTCAACTGGGCGTGAAATTTATCGCTGAAGACTCCACTTGCAATGTACAGACGTATCCTACTTGAACATACAACATACTCTCATTCTCAATAGAGTGGAAAACAAGGAAAACGTAATAATTTTAGACTATCATTCTATTTATAAAGACAGTTACTTAGATAGTCAGATTACAATTACCTTTGTGAAGGTGAAATTAGATTGTGTTAAACCATTCAATAAGTAAATATTGTTTAGGTTTTCATTCTCCAACTCCTATCACTTCGACTCACAAGGTAGGTAAGTGTATCAACATTGAGAAACATGAAAACGTCAACTGTAACCTAAAGTCATCTGTCAATCTTGCTTGTAGCTGCAAATGCAGAAATTATCCGTAACCTAATTTATTGAATTCTCATTATTAGTGTATGTTCCGTAAGTTCGGTTATTATGGTTGTAACATAAATGATTACAAGCAATCAAATATATGCTCTGTATTTAATCAAGAATATATCTAATTGTAACCGCTGGCATTTCGGATAGTTAAAAATGTCAGGTAAATTAAATAGGCTTTATATTCTTTATTACTTTTAATTTCGCGTTACTATACTGAATCAAATACGCGACCTGTGCTGGCAGATAGGCTCCTATGCAGATGGCTCTTTACTGTTCAGATCTACATTATATTGTAGGCAGTGGAATCCATGACATTCGTTTTGTCCCATTGGGGATTCTTCAGTTGAATATACCTACAATCCCAATGAGTGATGTTGTTCCCATTGAGTGTAGAATCTATTACATATCGATTCAAACGCCAGGGCGTTGTCCACTAAGCCATCTACTAACAAAGCTCGATCAATTCTACCCAATATAGCAACAGGAGGTTATAAGCATCAACGTAAAGATAAAGAACAACTGATACCTGTTGTATGTATAGCAGCTGTCATGCCCCAGTGGCCTAGTGAATAACACTGTGGTATTTGAAGCAATTAACACTGGGTTCGAGTTTCAGTGGGAACACCATCACTCGCTGTAATGCAAGTACATCCAGCTAACGAGTCTCAAAAAGGATAAAATGCAGGTCTGGGATACCAGTACTAGCTATTAAGTAAACTACAATAAAATGAGTTTCGAGGCTTTGTATGATTCAAACTAAAGTGGAATTATTACGTTTAAACTTGTAGCAAGTAACCAGAATGCATACTGTGCATTGTGAGTTGCTACCATTTAAAACGATATATATATCATGTACTTTCTCCTTATGTAGCAGTGGCAAGAGTCAGCCAATCTTTATGAAGTAGCCGGATGTTATGAATCAGCAGTAATTGTAAATCTCAAATGTAAAAACTACAAAAAAGCTGGTGACTTACTTAACCATGTTACGAACGCACCATGGTTACATCTGCAATATGCAAAGGCGCGCGAAGCTGATGGAGCTTACAAAGAGGCTATAACAGCCTATGAAACGGCTAATGATTTAGATTCTGTTGTAAGGTTAGTTTAATCAGTGTTTTTTTGCAGTTATTGAGTAAAATGAAAGCTTCTTCGTTTTTTTTAAATTTTGTTACTCCACTAAATTATGCTTAGTGTGATTTTCATCATGGCTGAAAATGAAAAATCACAGTTTGTCCTACATGATACATTTTAGTTTTCCCTTGATTGTTAAAAACTTTTTTATCTGATGTTCTGAACTTAAATTATTCAATAAGAGACGATGAAGCGAAGAAAATTTTCCTTCCGACGAATCATTTTTTAAAAGCTGTACATCATAATCATGGTTAAAACAAAATATGTATCCATAGATAACTAATGGATGAATATAAAGTCATCAAAACGGTCAATAAAGTTACAAGGTGATAACAGCTGAATTGTCAACTCAGAGTCATCAAACTTGCTTACAGGATTATAATAAATGAGGAATGAAATGAGTGAATTGCCTTAGAGAGATTTCGACCATGTCAAAATTAGAGATTCAGTGTATCTCTCTTGAGCACAAAGATCAGGGTTGTATTGCTCAATTGTCAAAGTCCTTGCTGTATTGAAGTGCGAATACCCATAGGATTTGGCAATACACCAATACAACCCTGATCTTTGTGCTCAAGAGAGATACACTGAATCTCTAATTTTGACATGGTCGAAATCTCTCTAAGGCAATTCACTCATTTCATTCCTCATTTATTATAATCCTGTAGGCAAGTTTGATGACTCTGAGTTGACAATTCAGCTGTTATCACCTTGTAACTTTATTGACCGTTTTTGATGGCTTTATATCCACCCATTAGTTACCTATGGATACATATTTTGTTTTAACTATGATTATGATGTACAGCTTTTAAAAAATGATTCGTCGGAAGGAAAATTTTCTTAAATGAATTTTAAATTATTTAATGGGACCGTCTCGAAAATTTAATTATTCATTATTTAACTTTAAAATGAAGAAATGAATTTGCATTTTAGTTGTAGTCTTCTTGACTTGAGATGTGACTGGTTGACTCTATCTTTACATTGTCAGTATCTACATACGCATATGGTAAATCCAATGATCCACACCCCCAACTTTGTGGCTTTTTCTCGAGCCATTTAATAGTTCTTGTCTCTAGTTCATGTGTCTATTGGTTTCTGATTAACCTGAATCCAAAACTTCTAAACATTTCTTTGTCTTTTTTCAATTTTCTAACAGATCCGTTTAATGTCGTTTATGCTTGTATAGTCAAAAGTATCTTGTAGCGTATAACTGCTGGTCGATACTCAAGTAGACTATGACAATTAAAGCATGAGGTATTATAATATTTTAACATGGACAAAATTGTGTACGTCTCTTTAGCCACCATAGGAAAATGTGGGAAATCAAACTTATTAATTAACCGAAAAAATGAGATTACCTAAGTATCTATAAATTCTCTTTTCTCGGTACCACTGAAAAGCTCTACATAATTTGGTAATGTATACGTAGAAATTAATTTGAAAACTTTAAAATGAACCATTGAAAGCTACTCATATTTGAACCCCTAACTTTAATGCAAATATCATGTTAATAAATTCACAAAAATTTATTATCTATTTTTGTTAGATTACAACTTGAGAAATTAAATAATCCTGAAGAAGCCATCCGTATATTACATAAAACGCATAGTATAGAGAGTGCTAAAATGATTGCACAATACTTTATTCAAGTTGGTGATCAAGGAAAAGCGATTCAATTTCTTGTCATGTCTAAATGTCTTGATGCTGCATTCGATATTGCTAGAAAGCATAAAAAGATGAAGTTGTATGCAGAGGTGATTGGTAAGCTTCTTACTGTTTGCTTTACTGAACTAATTATCACTTTGGTATCAAAAAATAACAGTCTCTCAGAGTTAGAAAGTTTTGTCGTTATGTTTAACAACAACGGTATGTTCAACAACCTACTGATAAACGAAGTGTTCTCAGAACACCGAATCAGCTTGCTTCCACTGAATATTCCTAATTGCTGAGAAAGAAATCGTTAAGTGTACATGGAAAGATAGGTAGAAAAACCAGCATGCTGTGATGTTAGTGTTTGATAGTATAAAAACACAAACCTTATTCTAGTATCAACACGAACTTCAAACCATATTAACTGATAATAACAACTAAAAAATCACAGATAAACTGTCGACGACTTCGTGTACGGTTTCAGAAACTATCAAACGTTTGATTTTAAGTCAACACTCTACATCAAAGTGACTAGCAAGTCAGTATGTATGATAAACATCGCAAATGCCTCATTAACGATTTTATCCTTTTCGGACTTTGGAATATGCTAATTTCAACACTGACAGGACAGTTTCTCTGGGTAATTACCTATTTTCGTTAAAGTCTCAACCAGGTGAATCTGTAAATATGAATTCCTACACGAACTGAAGTGTACTTGTGTATCATTAACAGATAAATAAACGAATGATGATTGGTGAACGAAGATTTTATAAAATGAATCAGAATCAATCGAATAAAAACCACTCACAAATAGAGTACCAAGAAGAAATAAGCTTTATAAATAAGTTAGGAAGTGATTGATAATGGAGACAGTCAAAATGTGGATGAGGAAATGGCATGATATGAAAAAAATCCACTGAATATACTTCAAAAAAGGAGTAAAAGGAAAAAGATAGGACAAGATTTGAAGTAGGTTCTTACAATATATCCACATAATGAATAATTATGAGATTGCCCTTTACTAGATCAAGGTAGGTAAAGAAGTTGGGAATATATTTTTTGAATAAGAAAACCCCAACTTTCGCTTATATATTTCTATGGTTTCAGTTACACAAAAAATGATGTTATTCTCATTCATCTTCATTTTGTAGGTTCTGATGCCTCAATCAGTGAGTATCAAAGTATTGCGTGTTATTTTGAAAATGAGAAAAATTGGTACCTAGCAGGAAAATATTACCTACTAGCCAAACAATATGAAAAGGTACATTAAATTGATTGGACAGTTGGACTCGCAGTATTTTTTACGTAACTATGTTCCATTATACTAAAAGTATTGTTTGGTGTTGTATAGTATGATTTGATTCGTAGAAAGTTGTGAATATCTAATACTTACTTAATGTTTTACGGGAAGTGATGCTTTTTTGGAGTTTGTAATTCGTGTCATTCACATTGTGACCACAGCGCCAAGATATATTGTTGATGAAAGCGATTGGGTATGTGTGTATCAATTCATTTCGAAAGGAATTAATCATAACAACAATATGAATGACGACAAATAATTACAGTGGCTGAGTCAGTTAAACTCTTAGAACCTCAATGTCTAAACCAGAAGATACTCTTAGGTGACTTTTTTTATTACAGGCATAAAAGAGCATGTTAAACGGAATTTAGAAGCGGAGGAAATACAAAAATAATTGCTAATATGAAATACATGATTTGAGAAATGAGGATTTTATGGGTCTGTTTGACTATAGTAGATTTTGAACTATTTTATATTGGGCTATCAGGCACTAACCAAGGTTATAAGAAGTTCTAGCTAGACGACCTGAAATGCCTTCATATATTTGATATCAACTGTAAATGAATCATTGATTAATCTCATGTCATAGCTTAAACACTTTTAACTTTTGTCTGCTTTAGCTAATTCCATTTAATATTTTAACACAACTATGCAGCATCCTTCTGAACCCAGTGTTAAACAGTGAATTCAAAGAAGTAGAAAAAGTCAGAATAACTAAAAATAGATATTGAGACTCATTGAGTAATCAGCGTAAGAAATTTAATGGGTAACAAAATTTTAAGGGAGACTGATAGGTCTACAGTCTATTCTCAGAAATGTGAACTGGAAAGATAAGCAGTTTAAGAAGCCTTCAGTTGCTCAATAACCACTTGGGGCTTGAACAGAACGTTGACTTCACCCCTTCAGCTCTTATAAAAGTTTATGAAGTTGTAAATTGTGTAAAAGAAGAATAACTGGCTATATTATTTTCTTAGCAAACATTATATATATATATATATATATATATATATATATATATATATATAACTGATATCAGTTGCTAGTCACCTCATTCTTAAGGAAAGAGAAGACTTACTGTATAAACTACCTTTTAGTGGACCTAATCAACATATTTCCTAAAAACGTCTAACTTCTATAATCATCCAACGCATAGCTACAGCCTGCAAACATCAAACGTGAGAAAGGCAGAAATGGTTATGGGTCTAGCTGTTTCCGAGCTGTCCTATGAATACCATAGGTAACAAAGTTAAGTAGATATGATGAAATTGGTTAGCTATGTGTAAATCCACTGCTGGTATGAAACAAGAGAGATAAGTGGTTTCATACTTTCAGTCTGCCTGAGAAGTATTTAATTAGCACTTTAAGATATGCGTAAACAGCTTATAAACCACCGTGTCCGGTATACAATCCCATAACACAGCCCTGGTAATTAAAATGAAGGCAGCCTTGGTATCAAGAACCCAAATTTTTGACTGACTGAATTAGTTGGACTTATATGTATGCAGTGGATACATGTTACCAATTTGTTTCCTATTGACCTCACCAGTGGTTCGGATTGAGTTAGTTGGATTAGGCAGTTGACTTCCTTTTAGTTCAGTCACGTGTTACAGTGTTATTGTACCTCCCGAGGTTTGATCGACCAAATATCATTGCGTCTAAATAATGAGTGTACTTCATTGTCTATTAAGCTACTTTTTACGTGGTTGTTGAAGTCCTTTGTACATTCATACCAATTCCCTGCTTAATAATATTGTTACCATAGTTTCGTCTAATTACGCTTTAGCTCTTGATTTATCGATTATTTTCATGCTAGCCTTTGATTTTTCAACATATTTTATGTAATTTGGTTTGTAAACTCAAAATCGTAATCTGATGTTTTGCTTTCAGAATAAAGTTACCTCTTCTGAACAATAATAATTTGAACGGACGATTGTTTTCGGTAACTTTCTCTTCCGGCTCTACAGTTATTAATCCTTGAGCATAAGTAAAATACAATAAGTAAAGTAAGCCATAATGTAAAATTATTTCAAAGGTGAAACAGTCGGCGTTATGAGCAAATGGAGATTAAATCAAGTAGATGTAACTTTTTATCAGCTCTGTTATTAGTTGTGCCTTGAAATCAATATGAACAGAGTAATCGCAATATGAGACAAGATCTAAGTTAAACTTACGGTAATACTCATAATAGACTGACATTGGTTTGAGAACTACTGGAAGAGCTAGACAGCTGTTTCATCTTAGTATGTGACTCCTCAGTAGTATGCACTGAGGGTCGGACTCCAGACCTTCAGGTCTTACGATAAACGTGTTAACCATACAATCACGGGGTCGGAGTCCAGTAGTCCACAGTTTCCTACTTCTGTCAATTTGTGATATAAGGTGACTATCACCCAAGTTCTTCAATTGACATCCGCTTCACTTCTGAATGGTTGACAATACAAGTCACGGCTACTCATTCAAACTTCGGGATATCCATCTCAATGGATGTCAACAATGGGCACTACGCAGTAATGCATTTTGAGGTTAGTGGGGATTTTACGTTTGAGGTAGTATAGATCACTGACTGACATCATTTATTATTATTTGTAATTATTCGTCTACATATATCTGTTTCGGAAGTCTGTGTGTATTGTATGATTACTGAAGAACCAAATAATCACCATGCTAAGATTTATAATTGAATAGGGTGAAAATTTATGCGAATGAAAAGTGAAATATCAAATAACAGTGTGAAGTTTTTTTCAAAAGCTTGAAAATGCCTACTGGTAATAATATGAACAAAAAAGGGCACAAAGTAATAACATAAGAAAATGAATGTTTATTCATGAAATGAGAGTGACAAAGTAAACGATAGGATGCAATAAGATAGAGTGATTACGATTCCAGTTGATAAAAACTTACATGCATTTGATTTAATCTCCATTCGCCCATAACATTGTTTCAATATTGATACTCGATGATGATTGACAGTGAAATGGAAACCTGAGCTTTGTCAAAAATGAAATAATTTTACTTATTGACTTACTTTGGCTACTGTGTTTCACTGATTTATAACTGTAGAGCGTGAAGAATAAGTTATTGGAAGTAACTGCTCCCTCAAATTATTCTTGTTCTGAAAGTTACTTCTGTTCCCATTCCTTAGGACTGCGTTTTCTAAGAATCCCAATGAAGCTGTATTCTTTCCTATTTGTAGAGCTAGAAGGGCTAACATATTGTTTCTAGAGATCTATTGCAAAACTGAGTTGAGTAAATTTAGACAATTCATTAGGATCAGGTGTTTTAATTTATATGTCAAGTTACTCTTCAAGGTAATTCTTAATCGAGCAAATGAAAACACGAAAAACAATAAAAGCGTTCTGTTTTTCTTAAGGTGATAAGCATGAAAATTAAGAAGAGTTAGACTTAACGAATTTGAAGATTCTTTGAATGCATCCAGATTTTGACATTTGCATGAAACGTACGCTTATTGGTTTTACAGTTTCGCATCTTCTAGGTAAAACCTTCGAAACTTATATTCATCCAACAAAAATAGGTATATATATATTGCATCTCGACGTTATTCAGTAGCACTTGTCAGTAGGATCTTGAACGCATGCTTCTTTTTTGAAAATGTTTAGTTAGATAGATGTGATATTGAAGGTCTAAATTATGAGCAGCATAGTGCATACGTTGCTAAAATGATTATTCAGTATTTTATTGTAATTAATAACAAGGTCAAGGAGTTTCAGTTCCTTGTGATATTTCTGAAGTTGCATACTTAAAGTTAAACCTCTTTCACATTTTTTATCAAATATGTTAAGAATTGAAATCAAATGGTAATATTGAACTTTCTCAGTAGCACAATATCCGGTCCAATAATGAAAATTTTATCACCACAGATTTCGTGCGTATACACCATTTGAAACGTCCAGAATATGAACATCAACGTATTAAAAGGTTTATACCTACCATAATGTATTACAGCGATCTGCAGTCTTAGAATCATTTCTCCTGAAATTAATATTCTTTTCAATAATTTACTCGTTCGTTGTTTCTTCATCAGGAAGATACAATGCCCAGCAATTTATGTGATAAATTCAAGTTTTGTATACTATTTCATAGTTTTAATCAAAAGAAGATTCAGACATACATTGACTGATTCTAATTTATTTTAGGCCATCAGGCATCTTCTTCATGTACCGTATACTGAGAATAGTCCAGCACTAGATTTAGCCTTGGAAGCAGTTGGCCAAGCTGGTGACAGTCGTTTAACACACTTGGTCATTGTTTATCTAATGGGTGAAACAGATGGTGTAGCAAAAGATGCTAGACATTTATTTCGTTTATATATGGTCTTGAAGCAGTATAAAGAAGCTGCTAGAACAGCAGTGATTATAGCCAGAGAAGAACAAACCAATGGAAATTATCGAAGTGCACATGATTTATTATTCAGTATGGTACAAGAATTAAGACAACGCAATATTCGTGTCCCATCTGAAATGTCGGAGAATTTGGCATTACTACATTCTTACATACTCGCAAAGGTATGTGACTAAATTTCTACTTATATAATATATACCTAAGGAGAACTTTTTAAACAGTTGGCTACATGCACAGGATGTTTTTTGGATTGCAGGTAATATCTTTAAGTAGTTATACTATGATGTGATCAGAAGGAAATGGAAGGCAGTTGTGATCACCACAAAATCTCTCAGAGGCCGTGTTATAATAGGTTTATGTTCAATAATTAATCAACAAATTGCTTATTGTACCATTACGTTACTGGTATAAAAATTTCGCTTCTACCCGAATTTTTGTTATGATTAGTTCTCATTGTCTAGACTCACTAGCGCTTATAATTATGATATAAATTAAGAATTTGAACATCTTATGAGTGGAGTATGGCTACTAACTTCTTCAGTCTTTTTATTGAAAATGAGAATGAAGAACACTATACCTAGTACTGGACAACATAAAAAATGCATGTCTTCCATAAATATTGTCTAGTCTTTAAATTTATCAAGTCGATATTTTATCCTACTTGGTACTTCTTCAGTTCATGGATTAAGATGAATAAAAAATTTTACTTTCCCCATTGAAGTTTTTTTTTCGATCTTATTTCTGAAGTATTTGGTCTAAAAAAGGGGAATTATTGTTCTACAAGAAGTAAATATCAATCAAAACATAGTTTGATGGGAAATTTCGCGAACTTCGATTGAAAACAACAAAAAGTACGGGTCAGTAGTCAAGATGGAAACCAAGTATATAGTGTTTTGAAGTATAAAATTACATCTGTAAGTCACTAGCTAAATAAGCTATTAAATAAGTATAGAAAATACAGTTATTGGACCTCATCTCATTGAAAATAGCCTATAAAGCAAATTAGTTTTCATAAAAGATGATTTAACTGGACAAAAGTAAAAAGAATCGACATTTAAATACATCAAAAGGTGATCTGTTTAAATAAGAGTCAAGAACAAGTTACCTAAGTAGAGAGACATTGATTAAGACTTTTTCTCAACATATAAACCAGGTTTGAAGTATTTGATATGTGAAGCCCTAGCAAACTTTAAAAATATTAGAATTATTTGTTTGCTAATTATCTTGAAGGAATCTAAGATATTGAGTTGATGTCCTGTATCAATCAAATCTTGAAAGATAGCACTGTTCAGAATGGGATTTTCCTCTGGTCATAAAGTCTTCGGAAAGCGTTCAGCAAATCTAGGGTATACGATCTCTTCAATAACTATAATGCATTTCCTTTGGTAGGTACATATGAGCTGATACGGATAATTATAGGTGACGTAAGAAGGTTACTTGTCAACTTTTTACTGAACTAAGAAACACATTGTTTGTATGACTATTTAGTTGGACACGTGAAACATTCATTTGTAATATTTGATCAAGTCACGAGTATTTTTCGCATGGATAGTAATATTCTCATTTGTTTTTGCTGTTCTATACTACTACAACTAACATTTTAATCATTTTTGCATCTAAGTTTATCGTACCTGTGGCTAAGTTTGTGTAAATACTGGTTAATAATATTGTGTGATTAAGCTTGGGCGAATTGTACGATGGAACAGCTTTTTTGATATTCTTTAGAACAAACCTAACGTAATTACACTCACTGCGATTTATGTGTTATTCTGAAGTTGTAGTTCTACTGAGTGCTAAGTATGGCAAGTTCATTGAGTAAAAATCTGAAAACGGGATAGTTTGAGAAATAAGAATAAACTAGGTTACAGAAAAGTTCAAACAAGAAATACCTTCAATCATCTGTTAATATTTCTTAAAATATCACCACCTTCAAAGTTGAGATGAATCAAATACAGGCATTTTATTAAGTTGTCTTTAGGTCGTTGCGTACTGTTTTTCCATATCGCTTGACAACCGGCTGTAAATTCCAACTCAGATTCATTCTCTCAATCGTTCTGTTATAATTATGTGTGCTTATCTTCAATGGAAACATTCAATTCCCTTGACATTTACAATATTTTTTTCAATGAGTATGATCACAAAATAAAAAAGTTTGTAATGACTCAACACCATCAAGATTGTTGAGAGTGGTGAATCTTAACAATGAATTGAAATAGAATGAAGATTATCATATCTAGACTAGGTATTACTCAATATAGCAAAACAGTTGAAGAATGAGATATCATAGAAAGTAAAAACAGTTTATATCATCTATAATTTGAATATGTGGGAAGAGGATGGATTTGAGGATCTGAAGAGTAATACAAAAAGAAATGACTTGAAGCACGTTTTTCTACATTGTGGTTGCGGATCCTCTGACCTACTAGCCGAAGCTTCATCAATACAATGGAGGGGAACATGTTCTGCTTCTGGTTTAAGTGTTTCTGACTTCATAGATGAATCTGAAGAAAAAACTTCCTGAGATCAAATGGTCAAAGTCTATGAAGCGTCCAATAGTTTCACTTCTATAGATTCTGCTACTTCCTCTTTGCAGCCATACAGTTTAATTTTCTTGAGTCGTTTAAGAAAGCACTTCGAATGCGTTGCACAGAAGTAGCAAATGATATAATTAAATGTGATTCGTTGAACACTCAGCTCTAGCTGCTTGTCAATTGACTAGTTAACGTAAGTTTCTGAATGTATTGAGATTCTATATATTTTGTAATTAGTGCTGCATCATGACACGAAACTTCAGGGCAAATTTCCTTCTCAAGAGTGAATTGTTTTTTTGAGTACCAACTGTTAAGATTTAAGTTACATTCATTAACAGATACTATAAATGTGTCTTCTACATACTTTTCTGCTGCTGAAGATCATTGGCCATTAACTTTATGCAGGTAGACACCAGCCTAACTATAAAACTATCTGTCACTAATATGCCTAGACGGAATAATATAACGATTTCATCTTTCTGTGTGTCGTCTTTTTGAGTGTAGTTTACAAATTCAACGTGTATATCAGTAGTGTTGCCTTAAAATATCATGTTGGTAATGTAATATTTAAGCAGTTATCTCCTATGTGTTTATGCGGAAAATGAGTGGTTTCCATAAATGGAACATTGGTCCAATATGATTCACTGTCGAAGAGCAACACACTTTTGTGAGAAAACATGTAAGCATTCAGTAGTTTACCTTCTTCATCTCCAACACACTGAAGTTCGGAATAGCTTAACTCTGTGTTTGCGTTTATTTGTCTGGCTTTTGTTGTTATTGTTTTATCTTAATTTTGCAAAACCGTGAATAGGGGCTGTTTTTTTCCGATTTGAACTTTTACTCTTATGAAAACACCAAAGAAGGGCAGCTGAAGTTTTCATCATTTGTCAAACAAACATGCGTCTTCTGTCCACTAGTCAATCAGTACTTAAAATTATACTTTTTTTTGAAATGTTCACTGTAACATTAAGATTGCAATGCTGACTAAAAGTGCTTATTAGTATGCTAGTTTAACGTGGTAATGAGCAAAGTTTTGAAAGGCTCAATATTTCATTACCCTAGAATTCAGATATATCTTACTTGTTTTCACTTTTTCAAATGATATCTAGGTTAAATGCCCACAAACATGAAGTTTACCTTTTATGCCTCACACAGAACTGACAAGGCTCACAGCTAACGGACTTTATTGAAAATGTAAGGACTTCTACTGACAAGTTATGTTACAGTACGATTAGTGAGCTCCTTAAAGTAACAAAAAGTTACATTAAGCATAAGTTTGTTGAAACCAAGTACGATGGAAGATTCAGTCTTTAATATTTTGGGTATTTGTGTAAGAATACTTAATTTTTGGTCGAAATGATCCTAAAATATCTTAAACATATAGAGTTATGTAATACAAAACCGATTGTCCAATCATTCGACTGAAATTTTGGTACTTTAAATTTCAAAGGTGCATGTGAAAAATGGGGATCATCTACGAGGAGCTAGAATGTTAATTAGGGTGTCAGAAAATATCAGCAAATTCCCTTCCCGTAAGTTTAATTTTTTAATTTTTCTTGTTTGCTAATGAAACTATGATAATAAGTCACGGTTTCGCAGATTTGCATTATAGATGCCTAGTGGTGAATGAAGGTGAAATGTAAGCCTGGATCACGTCAGAATTTAAAAAGCGGTTTATGAATTCAAATCCTCCCAGGTTTCATTCTTACTTATATGACAACATTATTTTTATTTAGTTGAACGGTTTGTCATAAGTTAGTTGATACCAGGTGATGACTGAAAATGAAATGTAAATCTACATTGTAGCAGGATGCAAATCAGAGGTTTCCAGATCATGAACTCTACGATCTACTAACTGAACTACGAGACTCAGCTGCTGACTTGGTCTTTAATTCACCTTATTTACTGAGGATTTTACTCGGCTCAAGAGAAGAAATGATATGATCAACAGTTAGGTCCTGTAATGTAGGTGATAGTCCGAGGGTTTAAATAAATTTTTTTCACATGTGCAATGAAATTCATGTAAGTAGACTTTAGTCACAAATATGAACCTAAAATGAAGCAGAAACCATGAAGCATAGATACTAATGATGGATAGTAACTAGCAGTGAAATCGAGGATTCTCGTATCCTCTTGTTCACTACTTGTCAGCTAGATGTGCCCACCTCCAAGTGATTGATGCTCTCCCCAGTAAGGCTGAGACCCGGAGCGAATTTCTTCAAAGGGCGTTATCCACAAAGCCACTGGATCTAGATTGCCGCTGCTTGTACAACGGGTGTAGTACAGTGTTAAGGCTTGTCAATCGTTGTCATTTATCAGACCGAAGCCATTGGCAGGATCATAGATGCGCACTACTAAGGAGTCTCATACTAGGACGAAACAGCTGTTCAGTGCTCCCAGATTTCTAGTATTTCTCCAACTGATGTCAGTTCATTATGAAATTCTAACCTGAAATCAATGAATACATCCAAACTGAATTTATCTAGCGCACAATGTTGACCAGGTTGGAGAGGAGATTCCCAAAGTCCCAAAGAGAAGTCGTTACTAGTGAAACGAACCAAGATCAGAATATGATCAGTTACTCGACGATGGCAATGGATGGAGGTTGCGCTATGTGAAATTTTAAAAGTAAGGAACCTAGCCTACTTAACTGGTTCACTAGTTACTAGCCGGTCCTAGGCCCTGGTCAAGAGTAAAAGGTTGGGAGAAGGGCTAGCAATCCTACCTCATAAAACCAATCCAATTGCTAAAGAAACTTCAAAGCACAAACAAACTATCAAAAATAAAAACAAACTTATTACTCGTTGCAATCAGGGAAATGAAATGACGCCGATTGGTGGAAACCTTCGGGAAGCCAGTTGGCCGATGTGTCCTCTCTCGATGAAAGCGAAAGTAAAGATGGGGACATGGAATGTCTGCAACATGTATGAACCTACCAAGGCTGCCCGGATTGCAAAAGAGATGAGAAGATATGGAATAAAAGAAATAGGAATCTGCGAAAGCTGATGCAGTCGTCTAGTAGGACGATGGAAGCTTCACGAATAAACAACCCAGCTCAGCGAACACAACGCAATCAAGACCATCCAACTGAGCTACAAATATTCTCCACTATTTCAAATCATTGGAAGCAGATGGAATTGAAGTGAACTCTCCAAACTGTCAACTGCAGAGTCAATAATCTACTCCAATATTGTCACCCAAACGACAACCACGAGCACACTGAGTTTTGGAGTGGCTATCATGATGTCCCCTTGAAGAGCATACAAGGCTCTGTTTCATGCAATGGAAACCAACCTCCTCCAGCATCAGGATCATGACAGCCAGATGGATTCAACTGAAAAGGAAGGAAAGTCTTAATCATACAATGCTGCACTATGCACCTACAAATAATACAGATGAAGAGAAGAATGAGGAATTCTACAGACAACTGCAATCAGTACTGGACAAGACTCCACTCCAGTTGGCGACATCATAGTTCATTCTAATTGGAAACATGAATGTCAAACTGGTAGTGGACAACACAGGAAGAGAACTAACCATGGGTGGAGAGTCACTCGGTGAAATGAAGGAGAACGGAGAACTGTTTGGAGAATTCTGTGCATTCAACGATTTGATGATTGGAGTGAGTGTGTACAAATGCAAGGATGTTCACATAGCGACATGGATTTGATTTCACCAGTTGGACACACTACACTAGAAATCAGGTGTACTTCATCCCAGTTTAACGAAGAGGGAGACGCAGCCTACTAGACACAAGATGAGATGAAGAAGAGGAGCAGATGTAGGTGGTTCACACCACTCGCTATCGGGCTCAGGTTGAACACCCAGAACAGAAACTGAACTGAAGGACGAAACTACAAAATGGGAGACATTAAGCAACATCTCTGAGGAAACCTGTGTGGAAGAACACTGGAACTCTTTGAAGGAGATATGGAAAGAAGCCTGCGTAAGCGTATTAGGAAGGACGAAAAAACAAGACAGGGAATGGATCTTGACGGGCACATGGAAGCTGATAGAACAGGGAGAGAAAGATAGTGATGGTGAAGCAGAAGGTAAACCAGTGCAAGGATGAACAACGAAAAGAGGAACTGAACACAATAGATAAAACACTACACTGGACAAAGAAGCGAAGAAAAGTGCTTGGAAAAACAACAGACACTTCTAAGACACATTGGCAAGTGAAGCATAACAGGCTGTTGGTAGTAGAGACCTGACAACATTGTTTCAAATAACCAGGTTACTACCCGGGAAGAGATCAACGCAGACGAAACCAGTGAAAGATAGTGAAGGAAAGCTAGTTAGCAAAGAGGAGAAACAAAGGAGACGATGGGCTGACCACTTGAGAAAACTCTTGAGTCGACCACCACCACCACCACCTGCAAGTCGTCCAGAAAATACCACCAGCAACGGCATAATTACCAGTGAACACAGGCCCTCCGACAAAAGCAGAAGTCCTGAATTCGACGAAACTGCTGAAATGTGGGAAAGCAGCAGGACCAGATTGAATTCCGCGAGAGGCACTGGAAGCAGCTGCAGGGACATCAGCAGTGGGCATGCTCACACCCCTACTACAGAAGGTTTTGAAGGAAGGAAGGAAAGGTCCATGGCGATCGATTGGAAGGAGAGCTACCTTGTCAGACTCCCAAAGAAGTGTGGCTGACCTAATTCTTTGTATGGACTGGTACAGAATCAGGCTTCTGTCCGCTCCAGGCGATCATCTTGGAGAGACTAAAGGATGCGATGGATTCCAAATTATGATCGAAACAGGCGGTTTGTCTGGCTGGCTGGCTAGTTGGCTGGCTCCAAGAAGAACAAATCAAATGAGGGTCAAATTGCAATGCTTAGCTACGCATCACCATAGAATAGAGTATAGAATGGTAGTCAACTCAACTCCACCTCAATTTCATCGACTTTGAAAGGCCTTCGACAGCGTCGACCGAGAAGTAATTTTGCAGTCAGCTGCTTGAACACTACGGTTTTAGTGCCACAAATATTTATCAACCTCATTCAAAACTGTATGAAAAGGCCACATGCGAAGTGGTTCACAATGGGAAGCTCAGTGATGTCTTTGAAGTGAAGACAGGAAGGAGTAAGGGAAGGTTGCCACCCACTATCACCGATGATCTTCCTGATTGTGGTCGACTTGACTGGATCATGTGTTAAACCGTGACAAGCGAGAAGATGGGCATACGCTGGAAGGATGAAAAGAGACTAGAAGATTTGGATTTCGCCACACAAACGTCACACAAACTCGAAAATCTACAGGCGGTAACTAACAAGTTGACAGAAGATGCATCGAAGGAAGACAGGACTTCAAATGAACGTAGTGAAGACGGAGGTGATGAAGATACCCAACCAACAACAGCATCAACAATAAGATGCACCAATCATCATGAACAGGTGGAACCTAAATGAAGTAGCCTTTTTCACCTACCTAGGCAGCATCATTTGAACTACAGGTGGCACAGATGGGGATGTCAAAGCTAGGATCGGTAGGACAGCAAGACAGACCTTCATTAACCTGAAACCAGTGGAGAGATCTGCTGCACTCACCATAAAGATTATCCGAATTTTCAAGACTAATTCAGTCAAGTCAGTACTTTTATGAGGTGGTTCAGAACTTGGCGCGTTGCGAAAGGGATTTCCAACAAACTACAGACATTCATCAACAGCTGCCGCCTACGCTCACTCAATACTGAAGATTGGATGGCCAGAATAATAATAATAAGCAACAAGGAACTCTGGCTGGCTGGCTGGCTGACAACGAACCAACCAATAACCTATCGCTCAACAAATATGCCAAAGAAGGTGGAGTAGGATTGGATTGGACATATACTGAGAAGACTGATTAGGAACATCACGCGCTAGGCCCTCGACTGGAATTTAAAAAAGAAACGACGAGTTGGGCGCCTCAGCTGAAGGTGACATAAAAGAGATGGTTTGAGGAAGAAATGAAAGCTTGTGAGCAGTCGTGGGGCCAGATTCAAAAGGCTACAGAGGACAGAGGGAAATGGCGACATGCTACTGAAGCCCTACGTTCCACTAGGAACCCAAAGGACAAATAATAAATAGCAATAGAATCAAGGAATATGGACCGGTGTATTTCGACACAATGTTTAAGTGGTATTGTGCTGGCCGTGGAACCCGAAGGTCTTGTGTTTGATTTCTGGCGGAGCCAAGGATGTGCACTGCTGAGGAGTCTTATACTAAAACGGAACAACTGTCCAGTAATTCCAGGATGATAATATTTCTTAAACAAATGTCAATTTATGATGAACACTAACTTGAAGTCAATAAATAAATCCCCCACAAACCTCCGAATCAGGCGAAGTAACTCATTTTATTCTAATGTTAGTTTGATATGACATGAAATTTCCGATTGGACTTACTCTAGTACAATAATCTAAACTAAAATTATAGCAGGCAGTTACTTCATACAAGATACTTACAACAAGAACGACAAGGTAGATTTCTATCTTTGATTCGAAAATATTATGTATGAATCAGTTCTCTGAATTTAAAATGACCTTGATGATTTCAAGTCGGTGTTTGAAGTAGCCTCCTTCACCTATCTAGGAAGCACTGTTTCAACTACATGCGGCACAGACGAGGATGTCAAAGTCAGTCAGAATCGGAAAAGCAAGACAGATGTTCATTAGCCTGAAACCAGTGTGGAGATCTTCCACACCCAGCATGTGGAACAAGATCCGGATTTTAAACAATAAGTCGGTCAACTCAGTGCTTCTGTATGGTTCAGAGACTTGGTGCGTTACGAAAGAGATTTCCAACAAACTATACATATTCATCAACAACTGCCTAGGCTGGCTCGTTACTGAAGATCGGATGGCCATAATAATAAGAATAAGCAACAAGGAACTCTGGGAACGAACCAACCAAGAACCCATCGCTCAATAAATATACAGAAGGCAGTGGGCTAAGATTGGATTAGACATACACTGAGAAGGCCGGCTGAAGACATCACGCGTCAGGCCTTCGAGTGGAACCCCGATGGGAAGCGACGAGTTGGGCGTCCGAAGGTGACATGGAGGAGATTTTGCGAGGAGGAAATGAGAGCTTGTGAGTAGTGGGGGAGTCAGGTTCAAAAGATTTCAGAGAACAGAGCGCATTGGAGACGTGCTACTGAATCCTTATGTTCCATTAGGAACCCAAGGGACAAATAATAATAGGTCAAATAACTAAACGATTTGTTGTGTTACTGTCGGACAAAAGTATTCGTAAACTATTCACGCTGAATCATCATGGAAACTAGCACACTTAAATTCACTCAGTTTAAACAAGAATTTTAGTTGTATTATTACGTTTACATGAAGTTTAAAAAAGGGACAATTCAAGTTATTTCGTTCGTTTCTGCAACCAACAGAATGTGCTTAAATCCCCAAATATTAAACAATTGGTCTTAGTAGGCACATGAATAAGCAGTGCAATCAGAATGTTCCATTGAATTCAAAATAGATTAATGCCGTATTTGCCTAACATAGATCTTAATAACAAATTCATCACCATTTTTGATAGTTGCATGTAAACTTCCGTATATTATCGGCGAAGCATCAGCATTATTCCTGTACCCTTAACAGACGAAAATCAGTACTTTAACACCAAAATATTCATGTTGCTATCAAGTTTCCGTATAGATTTTGAAGTAACCGAATGAATAACAATAAGTACGTGAACGAAATTAACGTGATGAGGTACTGGGTCTAGATACGAATAATGATTATTCTGTCTCAGAACCATATACTTTACTGAGACACAAAAACAGAAATAAGAAAACCGATCTATGACAGTGAGGAGCATATTATTCCACAGAAATACATCACTTATAAAGAGTTTTCATGAGCATATAAAATCACTAGGTCGAAAGATGAATTTTTTTTGATCGACCAATTGTAGGATAAATCGTCCAATAAAGTTTTTCTTGACCACACAGTAAAACGGAGCAAAACTTTAAATCCAAAGCTTCTATCTTACCGACTGATGAATCGAAATATTGATTTTCATTTAAGCCACTTCTCAGACATAGAATATGTAAGAGTAGTGATTAGCTTAGTGATAGGACTGTTTTCTATGGTTGCATTATCGAAGCTGTAGAATAGCAGTCTTATGCTGTTTTTTCAGTGAAAATTCAGTTTAACTAGTGCTGATTGTTGACTAGCTTTGAAGAGTGATTCCTGAAATTCCAATGAGAAGTCGTGACTAACTGGGCAAACCTGGTGGTCGTAAAGACAAATACACAAAGATGACATTGGGTGATGGTTATGCTGTGTAGTGAACTGACAGAAGCTGGAAATATGAACCCCTGGATTATGACCCAGTAGCTCAACGGTAACACGCTGGCCACGGGACCTAAAGGTCGCTGACTCGATCACTGGCAGTGTCATGGGTGCGCATAGTGAGATGAAACAGCTGTCCAGTGCTCCCAGGTCCCAAGTGTTTCTCCAACTGATGTCAGTACACGATGAAAACCAATCTAAAGAAAAGTCGTTTATCAATTGTTAAGAATGCGTGCTATTATGTGATCACATACTGATGATTTACTGTCAGAAGAGCATAGAATCAAGCACTAGCTGATATTACGTGAAAAACTAAAGACGAAAAAAAGAAAAAGGAATTAAAATAGTCAATTACTTTTTATTGCAAAGCTTTGGATTCTCTGTGTGAATAGGTAATGTTTTAGCAGCACAAAGGAGATGAATACATGCTGTCACTGTCAAGTTTAGCTTTCCGACTTAGAAAGAGGTCGTTGAGATGTGTATTTAGTTTCGGTGAAGTATTCAATTGATAATTCATTTATGAAAATACCCTCACCGGTTCACAGCCATGCATGGATATGTTTTTGAATTCTCTTGAACAAAAATGTCATTGAGCAACCAATATATCTAACTCTAAAATACTAGGTGGACTTAAGTTCACTCATAAAGGTAATCCCTAGCAAGATCTTCTACGTCAGGTTGTCAGACAGCAGCGTTTAATGTTTGAAAACTACTCATAATGTTGTTGCAAAACACGTTCTTCGTGAAAGGTTTGACATCCTTTGCATTGGAATGTTAGTAGCATGGTCACAATTAAATTTAGGGTTCATATCCAAAACAACTTTCGACACAGAGAAGCGAAGCAGCTTCTCTGAGGCTTCACCTTGATGTTTTCAATTACCAAACGAAGTGAATGTCCATTTTTGATTAAGAGTTTTCTTAAAATATCGCAGTGAAGTGTGAGCACTGTGGTAGGTTACAATTCTATTCCTGTTTATTTATTACTTGTATGATATATTGAAACGATATTAATTACTGAGTAACCTTTCTGACAGAATTTATTATCCAAATACTCAGTAAGGTTATCTTTTACAGAATCCGAGCAACAAATACTTTAAAATGCCTGCTGAATGAATTATAATCGGGATGTTTGCGAATGCTATTCCAGCAGCTATATCTGTCATGGTTTTTTCACTCTGTGTTAGTACCGAGTCAAAAAGGACGTTGCTTTACACGAATTTGACACCTAAATGTTATTTTTTATTTGGAAATGCAGTTTCTTTCACAATCAAAGCATATCTATATATTTAACCTGGAAAGCCTGCAAAATCAACTTATTTGTAGTTTAGGATGTATCTCTGCATATTCTTACTTTCGCACCTACTAAACTTTGCATAATACATAAGCGTGAAGTAATTCTCTACATAACTCCAAATTTACTCTTCTAATTTATTGATACAACTCACTTTCATGATCCAATGAAAGAGAACCTTTTACACTATATTATCATAAATAACTAATAAATTACTACAAATTGAAGGATTTCAAATGTTATCGTTGCTTGAACTTTGATTACAAGATATGGTGACAATAAATCTGCTATCGCTTTTCAGATGTTGTTCCGATTCTAACGAGTACTGTGATTGAATGTCAGAAAGCTGGTTTGAAATCAGCCAGTTTCAGTTATGCTGCAATGTTATTACGACCAGAATATCGTGATAAATTGGATATGAAATATCGTCGTAAATTTGAGACACTTATCAGGAGACAAGATTTGAAAACTGATTGTGGTGGCGATCAGACCGATAGTACAATAAACAAGTCAAATAGTTCCACTGTTGAAACATCTACACCATGTCCATCATGTGGGTCACTTTTGTTAGAAACATGTTTATACTGTACTGAATGTCGAAGTAACATACCATACTGTGTGATAACGGTAAGTACGTTGATTATTTTAGTAAATACTGAATAAGAATTTCATCTTAGGTAATATTTATACTCAACGATCACTTGACAGTCACTAAAGTACCCCATCTAGCTGTTGTCTCTGAACGAACATCATCCAATATGTTTACTGTGTAGCTGCTAAACTCGGTATATTACTGTCACGGTACACTATACTTTAGTGCCCTACTGAAGTATAAGCTAGGGGAAATGTGAAAATAGCTACCAAAGAGAAGCAAACAGCCTTGAACAAGCAAACAAATGGCAATAACGTAAAAAAAACGACTTAAGAATAGGAGAGTAACTTAAAAATAACATACTACGACCATTTGGATTTTTTATAACTGCAGGTGTGACGCCGGAGCGCGAAGGTATTACAACTTTGTAGGAATGATATCATGAACACAGTTAACTTAATACCCGTGAGTCTACTGAGCAACAGTCTGATTAGTTGATGTATATCGTTTGTTTGCAATCACTTACCGCTGTTCACTAACTTCATTGAGCTTCCACCAGTCGGTTAAATTACAGGTATTCTGTAAAAAATCTTTGGTTTCAATTAATATTATTGATCGTAGTTGCCACTACATTATTTTTTCTATGTAACGCAGCTGTTTATTCTTTAGAAAACATCTATTATGATCTATTAATGTCAAATTTACCATTTTCTGACAGCTACACGCTAAAAATGTTAGTTTAATTTATATATTTCTAAGCATCCTAATTGTATAATATCTGAAATATATTTCAGGGTAACCACGTTGTGAAAAATGATTTCACAGTATGTCCTGGGTGTCAGTTTCCTGCGTTGTATAGTGAACTTATGAGGTGAGATTTTTTTTATGCAATAATCCTTAAGCTGGTTTAAAGTGTTTCCCATTTGTTTAATTTGAAATTGACCCTTTGGAGTGATTTGACTTCACAGGTGATCTACTCCAAAATTATAAATGATACTACTAATAGATATAAGTACAATGATTTACGCTTTTTTTTAGATATGTTGAAAACTGCTCAAATCCGGTGTGCCCAATGTGTAATGTAAATTTATCACGTGATAGCATCAGACGTTTAATTGATTCCAGTGTTTTTTTAAATCAGTCAATTAGCTCACTGAATGCAGACTTGATCGAAAATGACACCAACGAGAAATTCGTTGAGCTTAATGGAAAGTCATGAAGTAATAATACCTTTCACCGAAATGGTAAAACTGTTACATTTGTTGTTACTGTTGCTGTTACTCTAACCAATTTTTTTTATCAATATCTGGTTTAAACACAAACTGTGATCAAAAAACTAGTATCGTTATCCTTCACCAGTTTCTAGCATTTTTGTTTGTTGTAATTTCAATTTCAGTTCTGTTTCGCTGAATAATAAAGACCAGAAAACCATTCCCATTGTTACTGTGTTTTTTTATTACTGTGTGTGATACTACAATAGCAGAGGACTTGAAATTCCTTGGACTTGAGAACTTCACCAGCCAGATCAGAGTGATCTAAGTCATTTGCAGATTGTTTCTTCTACCTTAGGACTTCAGCACTTTAGTTTAATCAATAACTTACTCGATATTTTAGTTCATATGTATGGTTAAGCGCTTGGTGGTAGTTATGGAAATTGTATGAGAAGACTACTTGTGGACATTACGCGTCAGGCTGTCAAGTGGAACCGAAAAAAGAAACGACGAGTTGGGCATCTGAGGGTGACATGGAAAAGATGGTGTGAGGAAGAAATGAAAGCTTCTGAGCAGTCGTGGAGCCAAGTTGAAAAGACTGCAGAGAAGAGAGCAAAAGAGAGACGTGTTACTGAGTCCTTATGTTCCACTAGGAACTCAAGGCGAAAATAATCATAATCATGGAAATTGATACAATTTTTGTAAATCTAAATTCGTGATCGAAGTTTCCACTTGGAAACCAAATTGTGAAGTGTTCAGGTTCCAATAACTTTGATTGCATTTTTTTCAGATGTACACGGTCTTTTCTTACCTAACCAAGTTAATGATCTTGCACATGGCTAGTGAGACTTTACTTTTGTTCGGGCAGTTGGAAAAGTCATCAAACATCCACCGACCCAGAACTTTTCAAGTAAGCCAGCAACTTCGAACTTCCGTGCTTGCAGTAGCACTGAACAAATGATTGAACAGAAGTAGGAACACTTGGAGGTTTTGGGGGAATAATTGATTTCAAGGTGATAGTCATCTAGGGCTAATATCAGTTGGAGAACTATTGAATACCTGGAAGCACTGGACAGCTGTTTCTGCATAGTATGAGACTTCACAGCAATACGCACTCAAAACCCAATAGCGGTCAGATCGAAGATACTAAAGTCTCGCGGTGGGTATGTTACTGTTGAGCCACTGAGTTGGAGTTCTGTGGTCCACGTTTGCCTACCCGTCAGTTCGCGATATAGGGTGACCTTCATCCTATACTGTCGTTGAGCAGAAAAATGTGAACAGTTGGATATCAGCTCATTTGCTCAGTGGTAACGTGCTTCTCAAGTAACATGGAAATCCTGGACTTGGTCACTGGAGGGGCTATGTCTGTGCACTACTGAAGAGTCCCATACTAGGGTGAAACAGATGTCTAGTGCTACCAACCTTTTAGTGGTTCTCCAAATAATGTCAGTTAGTGACGAATACTAACTAGTAATATGGAAAGATGAAAATCGAAAAAGAAAATAAGTAGTTGAAGGTAAAAGTAAGTACGTAAAGGCTTATATTTTCACTGTATGGAACATAAACCACTAGTGACATCTACATTGAAGAGATCAAATTTCTGACTGAAGGCTCGCTTACTTCAAGGTGAAAATCCTAGTTACTGTAGCCTACTTCTAATGCCGTTCTCTTTCTGGTGTGACTATTGGTGAAGACATTTGTTAGACATGTACACATCAAAAAAGGGATTTATGAATAATGCATATTCAGTGATTCCAACGTAAAACTAACCTACCATATATATTTGCTACATAGTGGCATAAAATCTACAAACTCTAATAAACACAGAGTGGTTAAGTATACTGTTTATAAAAAGTTGTTAACTGTCAAGATTACTACTTTTTATGGTACAAACGTGAGTGACTCTAAAGTTATGCATGAGCAGCTATTAAGGTCATTCTAGCAAGCTCTGAAATGACCAATCATATTTCTCAATATTGACTAGGAGCATTCTTTCTCATGACATATACAAGACTTATTTCGTATTTCGGTAGTTGTTAGGGTGACCTTTAAAATCTGTTATTTTGGGAGAAAACAAGTACTTAGGATTGCACTGTGAATACTGTTTATAGCTCATATTATACGAGGTACAACGTGGAGAGCGACTTTAAAACCCACCCTAACAAAGATCGAAATAGTCAGCTAAGTTTATTTATTTCAGTTGAAAAGGTTTATTTTAACAAACAACAACAAACTCCAATCACCATCAACCGGAGAAAATTAAAGGAAGTAGCCTCCTTCACCTATCTAGGCAGTACAGACGAGGACGTCAAAAAGAGGGCAAAAAAACAAGACAGGCGTTCATTAACCTGAAACCAGTGTGGAGATCTACTGCACTCCACTCAACATAAAGCGAGAACATATAAGGATTTTCAACACTAACGTCAAGTCAGTGCTTCTGTATGGTTCAGAGACTTGGCGCGTTATGAAAGGCATTTCCAACAAACTACATATATTCATCAACAACTGCCTAGGCTGGCTCATTACTGAAGATCGGATGGCCAGAATAATAAGAATAAGCAACAAGGAAATCTGACTGACAGGCTGACTGGCTGGCTGGCTGACAACGAACCAACCAACATTCTATCGCTCAAGAGATATGCAGGAGGAAATTGAGATGGATTGGATTGGGCATACACTGAGAAGACCGTTTGGGGACATCACGTGCCATGCCAGGCAATCGAGTGGAACACAGATGGGAAGCGACGAGTTGGGCGTCTCATCTGAGGGTGACATTGGAGAGGTGGTGTGAGGAGGAAACGAGAGCTTGTGGGTAATGGGGGTGCCAGGTTCAAAAGATTTCAGAGAACAGAGTGTAATAGAGACGTGCTACTGAAGTCATATGTTCCACTAGGAACCCAAGGGACAAATAATAATAATTGATAATAATGATAATCAATACTGAATTGGTTGTTGTTACTTAGATGGTTTTCATACATCTACTGTTCGGTGTCGTTAGACATTCATAGTTGTAACATCTTCTCCCTTGTCTCTCTTACTGGATAGCACATTCTCCCTTATTTTTGCTACCACTGGGACACATCTGTCTTGTTACGAATTATCCTGCTCTGTATTCTGTGTCGTGTACCAGTGACATCATATTTTGAATTATCCCTTCATCAAATCCTTCCCTACAAACTCATTTGTCAATAAATTCAAATACTGTGTGTGAGTGAACTGCGATAGCAAACATTTGGACCATTCATATGTTAGAGGATTTCTGAATTCACCTATCGGTCTAATGTGGTAGATGTCATTGTCAAGCTAAACAGTGATATTAATTCTGGTAGGAGTTATAGTTTTTCGGTGTTTGATTGAAGGAGTGATGGACATTTGATTCTACTGTCATTAGCTTAGTTGAAATTTGTGGTTGCAATATATATTTTGTGTTGAAATTGGAGTACATCGTTACTTTTATAAATTGAGTAGTATGTGCAATCCTGGTCACTTACGAATTTGACGAGTCGGGTGTCTCATCTGAGGGTGACATGGAGGAGATGGTGTGAGGAAGAAATGAGAGTTCGTGTGTAGTGGGGGGAGCCAGGTTCAGAAGATTGCAGAGAAGAAATTGAAATGGAGACGTGCTATTGAAGCGCTTAGTTCCACTAGGAACCCATGGGATAAATAATATCATAATAATAGTTGGTGATTTCAGTTGTTTTTAGGGTGATCTTAAAAATCTTTCCTCACATGAAGCTATTGATCATGTGAACGCGTTAATGCAGAGCCAAAGGTTATCGCTTAGTCACTTCGTCCTTATTAGTTTGTCTTCATTACACAGGTTTTGAGTGACTCTGAATGCCACTATGGCAGAGACTGAAATAACCAACTAGGTTTCTCTGTTTTAATTGGAAAGGTAATTTCTATCACGTCAGGTAAATGAAGTGGTTATTTCCTATTTCTCTAAGAGTGAATTCAAGTATCCAGCGCTTTACTGATAATCTGAATCAATCCCTACATCATATCATCACACCATTACCTCTGACATTCAGAAGCATATTATTCCTATTATTGATATCTATGAAGTTTCACTAGACTGAGTAAGAATTCAAACCACAGCGGTTATGTTGTACACTTTCAATGAAGCTGATGTATAAGTGGCTGAACTTCAAAAATCTCATTGTCGGCCAATCCGACTGATATATCGATAACACCAAAGTCGCAGTACATACCAAATGTTTTGCTATTTTTCATCTTTACAACACAATGTAGCAATTTTAATGAAACATTTCTTTTCAATTATCACTTCATGGACAACTTTTGAAACCGCTTTCGTAGTACATAAGTGAGAATTTCTGTGTTGTTAACCTACCCTATCCTTGCTTGAGAAAATGGCATGTCATCTGAATCAGAATACTAAAACCTACCTCGATATTCGACGTAATTATGAACAAAATACAACAATATCTTGTTTTTGTTGTAAAATTCAGTGCAATGAATGAAGTAAAAATCTGAAGTAGGTTATAGTCACATCTTTTAGTTTATCGAAGAAAGCATCTGACTGGCCACCCTAAAAGCTACTGAATAAGTTCTTGCAGCTATTCCAGTGTACCCTACAACTTGATTCCTTATAATGGAATACAATAACTAATCCTCCCACTAATTCTACTTCAGTAAGTCTAACTGATCTTACTGTGGTTGATGATAGATATTTTTGAAAATGCTACACTACTTATACGCTACTAATAACTTCTGCAATCTCACAAGTTACTATATATCATACATTACTGACAAATTACTTACCATTTAGCACAGTTAACATGAAGATTTTAAAATTTATTAGCAGAGAAAACCTTTATCAGAAAAAGGTATTCATCTTTTATCTGTAGAAAATCTACATATTATTTGACTTTCTTTTCTGAAAGTGTAAAGAAATGTCATGGTCTAACAGTACCATCACTCGATTAGTTAGTTATAATCATTCTAAGCTAACCATAATCTTCACTCAGTAGTCAGGATAGTTGTTAGCTACTTGGTAATTTATAGTCTCTTACTTGATAACGATTATCTACAAACAGCTTCAATTGGAAAACCAAATGATGGTGATGATTGTCGACCATTTTCTCATGCAACAAAGTTTACCTTGGTGCAAATAACAACTACCTTCGCATCTTAATGAGTATTAGTTAACTGAAACGTTTTGATAAAATATAATATTCAATTATATATATATATATATATATATATATATATATATATATATATATATATATATATATATATATATCAGTTTACCAATAATTCATGTACAAGTGAGTGTACAATTTGAAGAAACATCAAACTTTTGCGAATATTTTATGCACTGAGAATATAAACTAATGTTTATTGATTAGTTGATTAGCTATTGTACTGACGCATAATGATAAATAAGTACATTACTTATTGAAGTAAAACAATCCACAAAATTCAGTAATTTCAGTTAATTATTATCATTTTGGAATGAGCAATGCAAAGTTTACATCATTACTGTCCGTATTATCCTTGTTAGCTGTGTTATTTTTTCTTCATTCATGCATAGCTCATTCAAATAAATTACCAGATCGTCAGTATACTGTTGATAGAAGAAATGATGATTCACATCAGAAATTCAGACATAAACATGCTGAAGTTGATTTTTTTTTACAAAAAACATTTAAAAACAAATGGTTCTCTCGTAAAAAAAGTACTAAAGGCTGGGGATTTATAGATGAATTATGGAAAAATGATAAGACAGATTATCCATTGAGTAGAAAGAGATCTTACCATACTGAATCGAAACTATCACAGGATACAAAAAAATTTTCTCCAAGTTATCGACGTCATTCTAACAATCATTTTAACCCTAAAAAGGATAATACGCATCGTAAAAATTTGCATGAAGTGGATAATTATTTCGATAAGCGTGTTCCAAAAGCATCGAATACCTTTCATGGTCATGATAAGAAACACTATGGATCTAAATTGAACTCACTTGTCTACTATTTACTTGATCGCCTACGACATTATGGTCGGGTATTGTTGGGTATATTTGCCGAAACCAATGATGTAATTGAAGAATATGACACTAATGTTGGTCCACATCGTAAGAGACAAAAATTTTACTAATCACATACACTATTTACTACCAGAATTGTGTACATTCCTAAATGTTATCTGTCAGAAATAAAGTTTAGATGTTTGTATTTGTTTCTTTCTGGTGCATTTCTGAAATGTTTAGTTGATTAAAACAAAGATGATTTGATCAGCTGTTTTATTTACTCTGACGCAACAGGGAGTTGTTAAAATCTGGAATGCTTAACAATATCATCTGTAATATTGATATTGTAGGATAGTGATTTGCAATACTTGTGCAATGTCATCTGTTGCTACAGAATGTATATTATTCAAGAATTATCTAAAGTCAAAAGTGTAGTTTCATAATCACGGTCAATTTTTATATGATTGAAGCTCTTGCTAATAAGATGGATTACATCGTGCTGTAAAATGAAACACCCATCTTAGTCAGTGTCGATTACTGCAATTTAGTAATTAGTAGCCCAAAGATTAGAGTGTAAGGGATAATTTAAGTTGGATTATCCACTAACCTTGGTATTGAGATCTGTACACACTAATTTACCTCACAATCTCCCATGTTGTACTTTATTCAATGGAACGTAAACCTAGAGTTCAATATTCGTATAATGATAAAAATCGATACAGACAAGAATCCCCAAATCATAGTGATGATATTTTACAATGAAGAAATAAACAGTTCTATCCTTATAAAATATAATTACACAATTTTACTCTATTCCGTTGGTAAAAAGAGTTTTAAAAAACAACGACTTATAACCTCAAGTATATTATCATAAATATAAACAATTTTCAGGTGGTTTTTTTTTCAAAAGATAATCCACCTACATGTGCTTAATTTAGTTGTAGACTTTCTTTTCTTTAACTCAACACAACATTTATATCTTCTAAGTATTAAACGTGAGGTTGAAAAGAATGAAAAGATGAAAGAACTAGTAAAAGATTGAAAGAAGAATTTAAAGAGTGAACAAAGCTCATGTATTTTCTTAAAACACATGTGTGGTGCTTTACGATTCATATGATAAGGTGTACTTGAGATACAATGATGATAGTAGGCATTTACTCTGAAAGATGAAACTATAAAAGGAAGTGTTCTGTGAAAGAGTTAGTTGGTTAACAACACTGAGGATACACTGAATAAACCTTTAAAAGCCAAAAATAGGGTCGGTTTGAAAGTTATGGAGACTATATGAAGCTTCCTTGCGAAGCTCTGGTGCACTGATGACGGTTTCTATCATTATACTGAAACATTTTTCAACCAAAGCCCTAACTCAGAGGAAAAGTCATGCTGCGTACTGTTTATTTACTTCGTCTAATAATTGTACTTTGTTACTTCTTGACCTTTTTTCGAACAAGAATGTTTATTTATTTTTGAAAATCCAACAGTGCTATTGTACTCGCTAATTAAGGTTTAGGTATCTTTCGCTCATCCTATACTTTTCTACATTTCTACGGATGATCAACCTTTCTAATATATGTGACTAGAATGAGTTCAGTTAGATTTAAAGATGCAATATGCTGACGAGAAACAACATGCAGTAAAACAAGTATCAAGCTTTCAAATTGATTGCCCCTAAGTGTAAAACAAGAAAATTGATTCAGTCTAATCAAAATACTTTACCAACTGAAAAATAAAATCAATAAACCAGCAGCCATGGAATGGGTGCATGTAACCAAAACACAAATCAAACGGTAGTCGATATTGAATAAACATCATGAATTCTGTTGACAGGTTTTATTTCCAACAAACGTTTACACAAAAAGAGATTGTATGACACCAAATAAGTGATAATTAGCCTATTATGACATGAATAATCGTAAACAATGTCTTGAAGTTCTTTAAGAATTGATCAATTTGAAAACACTTACAATCAATATCATCAGAGTAATGGGACAGATATCCAGAATTTCAAATTTCAGGCTTACCGTGGCCACAGATATCAATGGTTGAGAAAGCTGCAAAACATGTAGGATAATCGACTGATGGCCTTGTAACTATAATAGTTTAAACTCACCTCTTATCAACCAACACAAATTACTTCTTTATGCATAGAGAACTGCTAGTTTGCACCAGCTCATTCATCTACTGAGTTCCTTACTTAAAGCGTCACTCAAATCTCACACTCTTAGATGTATGGGATACAGAAACTAACTTTTTCAATATTTTCTCAATTACATGAACATTCAGACCATAGTTTTAGGAATTTGTTGGAAAATTTGATTGAATTCTGACCTTGCAGGCTGTAACTGACTGTTTCTCCTAGACTGGCTTCACTTAACTCTATCAGGGACGGAAAACTTGTTCTCCAGATGGCATTAAAATGTTGCGATCTGTGAGCGACCAGCGAGAAAACAAGTGCTAAAGAATTACATATTGTATATCAAAGCTCTTTTGTAGATCTCAACCAATCACTTCAGCATCTTCTGAGAGTTGTCATCAGAACTCATGGCGAATTCTGATGTCCGACAAGGACAAATATGGCAAACATGCTTTTTAACTTCTTCAAAGGTGCACAGATGGTAATGACCCTCACACTTCCATACTTCAGAAATTCATTTGTGTTTGGTCACCTTTGCATCTTCAAAAATTATTAATAACCATGCCCAGTTTCTACTTTCCCTCAAAAAGGTTGTCTCAACTGAAATCATTTTTTCCAACATGAATATCAATCCGATACTGAGATAAAATGGGTCAATGTGAGCTGATTCATAATTTGTTGGTACTCTCAATTCGTTCCACTTTAATACAATGCTGGAACAGGTGAATAACCCACTTGGCGAAATATGAGCTTCCATGCCTGCATATTCATCGTTACAATTGACGTTGTGGTGGCTAGCTGTGGAATCCGGTGGAACTTGTCACCCGATTAATTATATCAATGTACATTAAAGCAGCGTAAAGTCATTCGCAAACGTTCCAATGAGGCAACAGAGGTCAGCTAACTAGAGCTACTGTAACAGTCGGGGATTACAGGCATCAATAAACAATAATAACCAATACCTGTTGCACAAGTGGTGGTCGTCATGCCTCAGTAGTCTTGTGGATAGCAACATGGCGTCTGACAGCATGGAATCATGGGACAAATTGTGCAACTTATCAACATGCAGCAATAACCGCATAACTTTGCTTTGCATAAACTTAAAAACTTAGTTGTATTACAAATTTTAAGAGGCTTAATTAACTTCAATTTCTCATCTTGTGTATGTCGTCGAAAATAAATTTCACAAAACCCCGTCACTATTGATTTGGCCAGATGAATGGGAAGTGAATAAGTCGAGTAAGTGAATGCTCACAACCACCACAGTTCATCACTTTACACACCATTCTGGCGAGACATGTTGTATTCTTCTGTTGCAAGATGAGGAATGCAGACATTTTTCAGACTAAACAACCCCTGCTTCATCAATAACTGCACCTCATCCTCACTGTTCAGGCTATGATATCAGCAGCATCTAGGGATACAGAATCGTGCGTATCACATGGAATACATTATTCTCAAGTCAGATAAACAGTTTATTAACAGTGTCATGTATCTCCATAATATTCAGCTGAAATCACATGCATTTCGGTTCACATTATGCTCTAGATTTAATTATATCTTGAGGCTATCAATGCCATTACCTAGTTTGATTCAGTTACGCATTGCTGAAGATGGTAAGATGAACAGATGGCGAGTTCCATGAGATCCGATTTCCATCTGAAATGTGTAGTGAATGCTGCAGGTATTTGTCAAACAAGCTAGCGAATATGAATCCACTAACCTCGCCTGGTTAACGCGTTCACTAGTTACTAGCCGGTTCTAACCCCGTGTAAAGAGGGAAGGTTGGGCATAGGGCTAGCAACCCTACCCCATAAAGCCAATCCAATTGCTACAGATACATTAAAGCACAAATAAAGACAAAAAATAAAACAAACTTATTACTCGCTAGAATCGAAGAGATGAAATGACACCGGTTGGTGAAAGCCAGACGACAGAGGTGTCTTCTCTTCTCCCGATGAAAGCGAAAGTAAAGGGGGGACATGGAATGTCCGCACGATGTTTGAATCTAGCAAGGCTGCCCAGATTGCAAAAGAGATGAGAAGGTATCACAATGAAGTGTTAGGAATTCGCGAAAGCCGGTGGAATTGAAGTAGACTCCAAACTGTCAACTGCAGAGTCAATAATCTACTCCAATATTGTCACCCAGACGACAACCACGAGCACACTGAGTTTCGGAGTGGCTATCATGATGTCCCCTTGAAGAGCATAGAAGGCCCTCTTTCACGCAATGGGAACCAACCTCCCCCAGCATCAGGATCATGACAGCAAGATGGATTCAACTGAAAAGGAAGGAAAGTCTTAATCATAGAATGCTGCACTACGCACCTACAAATAATGCATGTGAAGAGAAGAATGAGGAATTCTACAGACAACTGCAATCAACACTGGACAAGACTCCACTCCAGTTGGTGACATCATAATTCATTCTAATTGGAAACATGAATGCCCAACTGGTAGCGGACAACACAGGAAGAGAACTAACCATGGGTCGAGAAGCACTCGGTGAGGTGATGAACGAGAATGGAGAATTGTTTGCAGAATTCTGTGCATTCAACGATTTGGTGATTGGAGTCAGGTAGTGTGTTCAATCACAAGAATATGCACAAAGCCACATGTACTTGATTTCACCAGACACCAGGACACACTACACTAAAAATCAGATCGACTTCATCTCAATCTCATGAAAGTGGAGGCGCAGCCTACTTGACAAAAGATGAAGAAGGGGAGAGGATGTAGGTTCACACCACTCACCATCTAGTGCAAGGAACCTGCCTTCCAAGTCAAGTTAAAAGCCTTCACAGAAGTTGGTGGTAGACCACAGTTCAGGTTCAACTCCCAGAACAGAAACCGAAGGACGAAACTACAAGTAACATCTTCACGGCAGACATCAAGACAAAATGGGAGATATCGAACAACATTCCTGAAGTAACCTGTGTAGATGAGCACTGAAACTCTTTGAAAGCTATATGGAAAGAAACCTGCATAACCGCATCGGGAAGGGAGAAGAAAGGAGATAAGGAATGGATCTCGACGGACCTCCACATGGAAGCTGATAGAGCAGCAAGAG